CCATTTATGACGAATTTACTGTGTTTGAAAAATAATTAGTTTTCACGTATGTGATTAATGGTTTTTTTTAATTTTAGGCAGTTTGTTAATTACATGTCAAAAAAAAAGGAAATCACGATTAATTGACGCGTCGCTAAAAATTTGAAAATATTTATTCGATTCAAATCGTATCTTTTATTGTCCCTGTATTGTAACGTAGTGCTGTAAAGGCGAATTTTTTTCGAAGTGACGCGATCGATTATATCAAAAGTCTTAAGACTATTAAGGAAATGCTGGATGTTTCCGCGTAAGTCTCGCATATAATATGGTATGGCTAATATCGTTTACATAGGCTGTAGTTATATAGCGTGTACGTTATTATTGTATATCATAAATGAAATGTCATTGTTGTTTTTTTTTTGTTTGATTTGCGTAGAAAAAGGAGAGGAGGGAGTCATCATTATTATATCGTCACATTTAGATATGTAAGTGACATCATTAATCGGTATGAGATAAGCTGAAGAAAAGAGTGACTTCAACTTTTAATATTGCATGTGAATTCCTTCTCGTAAAAGCCAATTGTAGAGATTAAGGATGGAACGTATCATATAATGATCTTTGCGAACGGAACGTATCATATAATGATCTTTGCGAACGGAACGAGTGACTTCGTTGCGAATGTATGTGTATACGTGTACGTATACACGTGTGAATTTAATCTGTAATTTATTGCGAAATTTTTTTCGAGTGAATTGCGACATACGGAAATCGAGTCTGCGGCTGTTTTGTTAGGAACCAGAGAATTTTCGCGCATCAGACGGCGCTAATAATTTGCAAAATTCATAGGATAACGTTAACGATTTTACAGTTTTATTTTACGATACTATTGGACAAGTGACGATCGTAAATTCATTCTCAGGTGCTCTCGCATTGTAAGTTCTTCGGAATTGTTCCATTAGCTTCACAACGCCTCCCGTTGTGATACGAGAAGGCGCAAGCAAGCAAATCCATTTGCTTTGTTACTCCTTTTCTGTCACCTTTCTTTACTTTCTTTAAATATCGAAATTCTTAGAAAAACCGTTTGATTCTCTTCCTCCGTTTGTCTACGTTCGGCAGCTCGGTGGTCAGAGAAGCGTCGACTATACGCGCACATTTTCTATTTGTATAATCGTCGAAAGCGAGAGATTGTATTCAACTGAGTGATTGTATCAAGATTCGAATTTGTATAAATGCCAATGATTTATTGCCTCGAATCTGCTATTGTTTAATTTGTCTACCTATAATCTAGACATTATCATAATACTAGCTAATGTACTGCATGTTTATTATCATTTTCTTGTATCGTTTATGCATTGTTTATGCATGTTACTTGTTTAGTGAATATTTCGTCTTATCGTTATGATTATTTTTAATCATCGCTCCCCCAACCTGCGCGAGTCTCCAGAAATTTATCGCATCCATTTCTGTTGAATTATACATCATATTCTTCGGGATCGTTTCGTTCCAAAGGGCATATAATTTCTCTTATCTCTTGCCTTTCATGAACACGCTTTTCCTCAACAATTCGGCACTAACAACAATTCTTAATGAATTTCAGTCGCTCTATAAATAATGGTATGTTCCATCATTTTCGATATTGGAAATATGATTATGTTGGAATAACAGAATAAGTATAAGAGACTAACTAACTTGTAGCAGTTGTAAGGAGATAACGGCGGTTTAAAACATTCGATAACCCTAATAGCACACATTATCTTGGGGATGTCCTTAGGACATCCCCTGAAGGTCTGCGTTGGGAAGAAGCACGCGCGCGGTGCGCTTAACGATTTCATAAAGGAAATAGCGGTCAAGGGTAGAACTAATTAAACGATATAATCCCTGCGTCTCCTAAAGATCGTTAAAGTCAACATCAAGCGTACACTTATCCATGATGAAAGATACTTAAGATACCACCGAGTACCGACTTGCCTAATAATTATACATGACTCTTTGGTGCTTCGTGCTCGCTGCACGATTCGATCTTTTGGTATATTGTTATTTGTTTTCATAGCATTTTATTACGTTAATTTCTATGATATTTCAATGTTGGTTAACAATGTGTAATATATCAGTAATATTTTTGTATTATGATATTATAATATGTAATATTTCTGGTATATTGCAATATTATTGCGATATTACTGTGATATTGCGTGCTCTATGTGGGATGTTTAAATTCTAAACTTTCCTAACGTGATGTTTGAAAAATCGTATCTCTGTTGAAGATCGTTTGAATTTAAAAAAAAATTTTTATTACGGTAAAATAGAAAAAAATTACATAAAAAATTTTCCTACTAACAAAAGATTTGACATGATGCGAGATGTTTTTTTTGTATGGTGATTACTCGAAATAGGATTCTGATATCAGAGAGAAGCCTGAGAATTATGATAATGGACGTATTAGCTATAATATCCGTTAGCTATTATATCATTTTAGACGGCACCCATCCTTTATCTTCGTCCATATGCACTAAATATCATGCATTGAATTATTAATTATATAACTGATTTCGCACTCTATGCATTTTTAAAATAAAAATTCGATAACAATGAGCATACCCTTATAGCACAAAGTTGCACAAAAGTTGCATGTTACAGCAATATTGCAGAGATTTTGCAGCAATATTGCTGCAAATTCTGTGCTGTATGGATATTAGGTATGGTGCTTTAGATGTAAAAAGAATCATATAAGAAAAAACAACTGATAAACGAGAATGGATTAAAATGAATTGAAATTTTGTCTATCCGAATGCGTATTTTAAATAGCGAAAACTTTTTTTTGGATTCAATTGGATTCAATTAGATTCAATTGGATGCAATTGAATTGAAAAACTTTCTATTCATTTTCTATTCAAAATTTTGAATTGAACAGTATTCACGATGCACAGAAAAAAGCTGATATTATTTTTAGATTGAAAGACATAGACATATGCTTCATGCAATTCCTATAAATGAATAAAAATACATTCAAAATTAAAAAGCATTCATTTTAACATTCGTGAATCCGTATTCCTGAAAATCTGAATCCATTTCAATCCATTCTCGTTTACTGGGAAGTAAACTGCATTATACGCATGCAGCAAATAAATGATCTTGTAGCCAAACAAGATTACGCTACGGACGTGTGCATATCTTTTATTCAGTCTCTAGTTCCGTTGAAAATTATATTGATATAAAAAATAGATGATGCATGTAAAAGATCTTACATATATATGATCCTTTATATGTACGCACACTATCTATTTTTATACATAATAATATTATCTGAACTGATTATTAACTCTCATCTTTGAAATCTCGTCAGTATCTTTTTTCATCATTATTACGTATTACTATATACGTGCGTAATCATCCAGTACGATAAATTGCTTTTTAGTATCATCAATGGTAACAACTCTCGTCGTTCAGTCTTGTTTTGTTACTTGCTTGAGTATGTTCGTGCGCTATCGTTTGCTGGGAAGTGAATCGCGGAAGTGAAATTGAACATAGTATTATACTTATCATCCTATCCATCATTATATATTTAGCTCAAAATCAATCATAACCCTTAAATGTCATATTTAATTCTGATTTTAACATTTGTCGGAAAAAACGTATACGATACATTAATTTTTTCTTGCTTATGTCCTCAATAAATACATTATACCCGTTATATAATTATATATAAAATATTTTTTCCCGGGTAATAATTATATTACGTTAATAACTTGGTGATAGTGACGCAAATCTTTTTGCAAAGCTTTTTAAGCAAACTAAATAAAGATCATTCATTAGCTCCGTATCATTTATCATATATAGGACTATATTTATTTTTCTCAAATAGCACGTACTATCACTTAAATTAATTACTTTTCTTTTATCTTTTAGGACAATTGTGTTTTTCTTTATTTTTACGACTTTGTAGAAACATACATAAATAAGTATAAAAGAGTATAAATGAAAGAATGATTTTCTTATAAATTTCCTTGTTCTATGTTACAAACCGGTTGAAATAAAAACCGGATAATCAAGTAAAGTAATTTTACAACACTTATTGTATATGTATGATCGATAATAAAATCCTTGAGTATATATATAACAATAAGTAGGGAAGAGTGGGAGGATTGCGGACACTGGGTAATTCCTGACATACCTATGTATCCCTGTTCCTCCGTTCCTTTCAAGTCCTACTATCATGTCACGTAAACTAACATGAACGCCAGCAGTCACCGGCAAGCACTCACAATAGGACGTCACGCACTATTTCCAAGATAAGTCGCAAAATAATATTTTGGCCATTTTCTTCTAATATTTCGCTGTCTTATTTTCTATATTTTTGTTATTTAAATGGTGATATTGCTACTTTTGTCTTGAGAAATCATTATCTATTTATGAATAGCCGTATATCCCACTCTTATAGGATATACGACAAAAATGCAAAGGTTTCGAAAGGTTCTTTTTTTAATACGAAAAATAAATATTTCGGATTTCTAATTTTTTCATAGTAGTAGTATAAAGTTTTTATTGATATAGTTTATCTTAAAAATAGTAAATAATATTTAATAAATTAAATTTTTGTTAGGTGCGGCGTACATACCGGAGTTACCCTAATTGGTGTGTGGTTTAATACCGTCTATTTTCGTTCAAACTCTTCACTTCTAGCTATACAATCGATTTTGACAACAAGAATTTCTATAATATCACTTTATACATTATGGATTGTGCCTAGGATAAAAACCACCATGCAGTACGATGAAATTAATATTTCTAAACAAATAAAACTGTTCGCTTTCACGTATAATTAATCATTTAATTGAGATGTAGATCGCTTCCTAGCTGTATCACTTTTTTATCAATCATTTTACATAGTTACTTATACAATATATTTCAAAGAGATCGTGTTGGATTTCTCTAGAGATAAAATTAATTCTTTATAAAATTCAAAAGGAACAAAATCTCTTAGTCGCTCTATCATTATTCATGGCTAATGAAGGGCCTTGTGAGATACCTTCTTCATTCAATGTCATTGATTTTTTTAACTTGCATTCACGTGCTCACTCCAAAAACCTTATTTTTTTGTTTTTCAGACCAAATCATTGTACAAGACTTAAAAAAACACCAAGTTGATTTCGACGCTTCAATAGTTTAACGATGTGTCCACCAAGTATCGTACTTTGTTTCGCATTTCTGTTTGTTACTTCGTTCTCGGAATCTCAGGATGATTTTACGAATGGCAATGAGCAGAGCGACAACTTGACGGTGCAGTCTGATCCTCTTGTAAATTCTATAAAATATCGAAATGAAGAGATGAAATTAACACGCAGTTCACAGAAAAATTCTATTAAGAATAACGATGAAATGCAATATGAATCCTGTATTAATTCTACAAAGAACAATTGCAAGAATGACTCGGTGGGATACGAGTCTCGTGAAAATATAATAAAAAATCACAAAGATAATAATCAGACATCTATGGAGTTTTGTACGAATTCGACAGATATCAATGATTTCACATTACAAGAAATTAATAAAAATCTGACCAAAACTGAAGACAAGAACAATTCTATATCGTACAAACTTGATTCCAATAGAATAATTAAAACTACCTTTCAATATGAAGCGTGCAATGATGATATTACTTGCATTCAGTTCTGTTGTCCGTTTGGTAATATCTTGATGACGACAAAGGGACGGTGCATCTCTCGTGGAGAGGATAATTA